CCCCGACCACACATGGTGGGCATGGCGCGGCGCTGGTTCGATGCCCTCGGCGGCCGCCATCGCCCAGTAAGTCAAGGCCCATTGACCATGCCACGCACGGGCTAGCCTGCGCCTCTCGCCCGCCCGCCCGCCCCTCCCTCCTCGTCCTGGCCAAGCTCGTCCCTCTTCGCCACATACTGCATTCCTCATGCCAGCGTGCTCGACCTCGCCTCGTCCTCGCCCGCGCCCCTCTTCGTCCTCGCCCTCGGGCTCATCCTCGCCCGCGCCCTGACTCGCCCTCGTGCATGCCCCGACTCACCCTCGTCCTCGCCCTCGGCCTCGTCCTCACCGTCGGCCTCGCCCTCGCCGCGGAGAGGAACAAGGTATACTAAGTAGTATTAGTGGTAGTAGTAGTTAGTAGTTGTAGTAGTAGTCTAAGTAGTACTAGTTGTAGTAGTGGTAGTAGTAGTTAGTAGTTGTAGTAGTGGTAGTAGTAGTGGTAGTAGTAGTTAGTGTAGTAGTAGTTGCATTAGTTAGAGTAGTAGTTGTAGTAGTGTTATTAGTAGTTAGTAGTTGTAATAGTGGTATTAGTAGTGGTATTAGTAGTAGTTAGTAGTTAGTAGTTGTAGTAGTGGTATTAGTAGTGGTAGTAGTAGTTAGTGTAGTAGTAGTTGTAGTAGTTAGAGTAGTAGTAATTGATAATTAAGCTGCATGTGGTTCCTTGATATATATGTGGTTGTCGGCCATCGTGCCGTGGTTATCTTTCAGGTTTGGAAACCTCACCGTTTAGGGAGATCTTTCAATTTTGAGTTGACGTTATTTTGCTTCTTTCTTTCTTTTTGCAGGAGCCGAGTCGGAGTACCCGGTGTCCCTGTGTTCGCCCAGACTGCTGTCCGCCTCGCCACTGCACCGACCCGCCATGGCCCCGCTAGCTTGACTTCACCGCCACCTAAGGTATAACCACTCTTTATTTGTCTTGGTTATGTATCTCCATGTAACCCAGTTAGGCGTCTCCCGTTCGAAAGAGATACGGTTAGAAATATGCAGATCTTTGCATATCAATAACCGTATCTATTTCGAATTGTCCACATTTTTTTGACAGCCCGAGGATGCGTAGATGGTGTTAGTTTCCATGGTCTGCTCCGATCCGAGAGAGCGAGTTTTGTGATTACCTTCCTATTGTTCTCCCGGATACACAATCTCACTGCCGGGACGTGTATTTGGAGAAAATGAGGAGGTGTTGCCCGAATTTCTGCTTTGGATAGGACGCACCATGGGAACTAACCCATCTACGCATCCTCGTGGTGGGATTAGGACCTATCCTTACCTATTAGATGGTAGGAACGACGTGTAGATGCAAGTCCATGGTTATATTTATTACTTGGTGATATATATGTTAGAGGATGGATGATCGTGAGTGGATGTACTCGGGCTCGTGAGATTACCAGAGAATGGGTCGTCAGGACCAAGGCTTTCATCGAGCAAGCATTTGACCAGGCTCTCGGAGCGCTTGCCATTTTTTGTCCCTGCATCAACTATAAGAACAGAAAGAGGCAGACAAAGGAGGTGATGACTTCACATCTGGCTAGGAATGGATTTACGAAAAACTATACCCAGTGGACCCACCACGGTGAAACCGATCGTGTGAGAGAGGAGGTGGTGAGACCACGTGTCGAGGATTATAATGCTGATGTCGGGGTAGCAGATTGGTTAGATGACTTTCACGAAGCACACTTCGCTGAAGGACATAGGTAGGAGGAGGAGCCAGAGGCAAGCGCAAAGGCGTATTATGAGATGTTGTCTGCGGCAGGGAAACCCCTTCATGGCCACACATAGATTTCAAAGCTTGATGGCATTTCACGCTTAATGGCCTTAAAGTCCTAGTTCAACCTCAGTCGAGAGAACTTTGATGAAATGTTGACAGTTATTGGCTCCATCCTTCCGGCCGATCACCTTCTGCCACAGAACATGTACGACTCGCAGAAGGTCCTTCGTGCACTTAAGATGCCGTATGAGCAAATACATGCTTGTCCGAAGGGCTGCGTCCTCTTTAGAAAAGCACATGCGGATGCAAAGTACTGTCCAAAGTGTAAATCCTCAAGGTATCTGGAGGTAGACTCTGGTGATGGTGAGAAGAGGCAGAGTCCGTACCCCATGAAAATCCTACGGTACCTTCCATTCATACCGAGGATCCAACGGCTATTCATGACCGAGGAGTCCACGAAACAGATGACATGGCACAAAAATGGGAAAAGATACAGTCCTGAGAAGATGGTGCATCCAGCCAATGGTGAAGCATGGCATCACTTTGATAACATTCATCGTAACAAATCTGGAGAGGCACGTAATGTGCGTGTTGCACTGGCAACAGATAGGTTCAATCCTTATGGAATGATGGCTGCCCCATACACTTGTTGGCCCATGTTTGTTATCCCCCTCAATCTCCCCCCTGGCGTCTCCTTCCAACGACAGAATGTGTTCTTGTCGTTGATAATTCCAGAACACCCTGGGAATAACATGGGTGTGTTCATGGAGCCTTTGTTCGATGAACTGGTCCATGCTTGGGACCATGGTGTATGGACATACGATCGAGCTACAAAGACAAACTTCACCATGCATGTTTGGTATCAATACTCCATGCATGACTTCTTAGCATATGGGATATTCAGCGCTTGGTGTGTTCACGGAAAGTTTCCATGCCCCTTGTGCAAGGCAGCTCTGCAGTTCAATTGGCTGCAGAAGGGTGGCAAATATTCCGCGTTCGACAAACATCGACAATTCCTCCCTGCTGAGCATCCATTCAGAACAGACATCAAGAACTTTACTAAAGGTGTCATGGTTATAGACCCCGCACCACAGATGATGACCGGTGCCGAGGTTCATGATCAGATAGATGCTCTCCGGATCAATGAAAAAGATGGTAGGTTCGTGGGATATGGTGAGGAGCATATGTGGACTCATACATCGCGCTTGATGATGCTCCCCTATTATAACGACCTTCTTCTTCCACACAACATTGATGTAATGCACACCGAGAAGAATGTTGCCGAGGCGCTTTGGGCAACGATCATGGACATTAAGGATAAGACGAAGGACAATGTAAAGGAGAGACTGGACCTGGCAATGATATGTGATAGACCAAAGCAACACATGCAACCTCCTAGAAGCGGCAAGAAATGGACAAGGCCTAAGGCCGATTACAGATTGAAACCAGAACAAAAGAGAGAAGTATTAGAATGGTTCAAAACATTAATGTTCCCTGATGGGTATGCAGCGAATCTGAGGAGGGGAGTAAACTTATCTACCTTGTGGATCAACGGCCTGAAGAGTCATGACTATCACATATGGATTGAGTGTCTTCTTCCGGCAATGCTCTGAGGCTATGTCCCTGAGCATGTGTGGAAGACGCTAGCCGAGTTGAGCTATTTCTTCCGCCAGCTTTGTGCCAAGGAGTTATCTCGTAGCATGGTTGCAGAATTGAAAAAAATAGCACCTGTGTTGCTCTGTAAGTTGGAGATGATCTTTTCACCCGGCTTCTTCAACCCGATGCAGCATTTGATTCTGCACCTCCCGTATGAGGCATGAATGGGGGGGCCCGTGCAGGCCCGTTGGTGCTATCCAATCGAGAGATGTCTAAAGGTTCTTCGAAAGAAATGCAGAAACAAATGCAAAATCGAGGCTTCCATGGCGGAGGCATTCGTTCTAGAGGATGTTACTAACTTCACACAAGCATACTATGGTGACAAGCTTCCTAGAGTGCATAATCGACCCCCTCGTTACAATGCTGGTGAAAATGAATCAAAACTCAGCCTTTTCCAAGGGCAACTTGGAAGTGCAAGTGATGCGACCTCATTGTTGTTGAAAAACGAAGAGTGGCGCACAATCATGATATATGTGTTGACCAATCTTACCGAAATGGAGCCGTATATGCAGTAAGTGGCTTCTTGCACGAACTTGTTAATTAAATATGCCGTCAACATTCTGCATCCAATCTCCTTGTTTCTCGTTGTTACAAGGAGTTTATTAATGAGAACTGGCATCTATCAAGGGAACCTACCCCGCAAGAACGTGACACCATTCTTCATCAGGGTGCGGGAAATGGAATCTCCGATTTTATTTCTTGGTTCAAACAAAAGGAGGGGAAAAGAACTGAAGAAAACTATGACACTGTAACCCAGGTGCTACGCACATTGTTGCACAATGGGGTTTCAGTAGATGCTTAAAAAACAAAATCAGCGGCCAGAGGTGATTAGATACTTCGAAATCTATTCATACCTCTTTACTTACAAAAATATGCATGCATGTATGGACAGTGAGGTCCATACATGCTTAAAAATCAGGGCAGATTGGACACAACAAACATGCATGTATGGAATTATGGACAGCGTATGTATCATCAAACTACAAATAGAGCATCTGAATTTAAAACAACAGGAGGACCATGCAATTGTGTTGTATCGATCAACTTCGTCAGCCGCAGTGCAAGAGATATGATATAAACCTTAGTCACTGAAGTGATAGGATAATATACTGAACAGGACAGATAAAAGAATGCTATCCTACAAGGGTATGCACTATGCAGGTCTAAATCACAAGTAATTGCCTGTAATGGTACACATCAAGGGAAACGGTACTAAATGAAGCTGCCTTCAGAGACATGTCAAGAAAGGCAATCATTTTATTAGATCATACTCCCACCATTCCAAATTCTAAGACATTTTAGCTTTTCTAGATAGATACATAGCTTTATCTAAAAAAGCCAAAACGTCTTGTAGTTCGGAACGGATGGAGTAGATTCTAAGGAATTTAAAATCTGTTGATGGTAGGTTGAGAGGCTCCAAGTCCAAGAAATTCCAGGTTTTACACATTGGAGGCCAGAAGAAGGTTTCAGCATGCTTAGGAGCAAAACACTAGCTGTTCTTAAAAGCTAATTATGCACAGTTGGAAAAACGCAAGGGTTTGGGAGCCATTGTGACACATGGTTTACTGACATTTCAGTAGCACTAAGCCTATCATTAACAATGGCGTACCTCTGGAAGGCTCGGTATCTGTATTTCAACTCCCTGAGAATCAGCATCTTGCTGGCAGGGTGAGCCCTTCTTATTATCTCGTGATGAAGCAACCAACCCATCTGCAGCACAGCAAACATGGTTATGAATAATTCAGAAATTTGCCCGGCGCAAAACAACCAATGCACTAAGATGAATCCTTTTTGTACTCTTGTCAAACTTTTGTTCGATAATAACAGTAACACAACAGCTTGTCAAAACAGAGCATGCAGGGTTTTTTTCTTTTTCTTTTTTTCTTTTCCCCAGAGCGTGCATGGTATAGTAGCCTCTCCTCTGGTTTTGTCAATCTGGTGGAAGCCAAATGAGCAATACAGTGCAGGCCGTCGTCAGCCACTGCGTTCAGTATCAGGCTCTCATCTCCAATCTTTACTTATACATGTATAAAAGAAAAGTAACGAATTCAATTGGATGCACTACTGTATGTAGTAGCAATATTTTAACAAAGAGAATCTCCTATGCTCACAATTTTTGTTTCTGCAAACAGATTCACATCGGAACTAGTACAGATGGGTGGAGAAAAAGTTTTCATCAACCAGATTATAACAAGAAGAAAAAGCAAAGCAGAGGAAGGGAAGTCGGCGGCTTACGGGTGGTCTGCGCTCGCCGCCGACGGCTGTCCGGCTGCGGCTCCATGGAATACAATCACGGCAGTAGTATCCCTTCCTCCCCTCCTGTGGAATGTGGAATATAATCTCGGGCCCGCCTTAAGGCGGAATCGAATCGGTCTCTTCATCTCTGCCTGCCTTGAATTGAATCCTCTCCCTAGTGGATAGGACTAACCCAACAAATAGTTTGACTAGGGCAGCTCCAATGTGTAATAATCTTTTTAAGCAAGGGCTGGAGTTCGGTTCGATTTTGTACCCCCCCTCCATATAAAATAAAAATAAATTATAATTCTAGATTTACAAGTCAAACTTTAAGAAAGGGATGGAGTTCGGTTCGTGTGTTAGTTCATACACAGTCATACATTTTATCATTGTCGTGGTACAACAAGATTTTTTTTATAAATAATATTTTTTAATAATTAATTACAAATCTAGCGACTGTTATATAAAAATTTAAGATACAGCATACTGTTGGGAGCCGAGAATCCGTCGGCAACGATAGGGCCGAAAGGCCCTACGTGGAAGGGACTTGTCGGCCGCTGAACTACAAGTTTTTTTTTTATAACAAATGCTACATTTACAATTAATCATTAAAAAATATTATTTAAAAAATTCTTAAACTATCGTGGTCACGGCTTTGGTTCGACTGTCAAACACCTCAGTGACTTTTTGTGTGCTCTCGTTGCAATGCGCGAACAATCACCTAGTCATTAATAACAAACAGAAGACAAACATCAGGGATTCGGATTCATCCCCACTCAAAATCGATCAACCTGAGCCCAGATCTCAGACAAAGGCGCAGCACCATACGTCCTACACGCTCTCTCTGGACGGGAACTTTCAGCAATACGTGCAATATACTTTCTGAACAAATTTATCTGTACCTGTACTGTTCCCGTTCAAAAGTTTTGCATGCTATTGCAGTATGATATATAACAATCTGACCTATATTATTCAAAGAATAAGCTCAGAAAGACCTACAATCTGACCCAAGGAAACATCCTGCCACATTCCATGAACAACTCAGAACTTCACATGATATATGCAAGAGATCATTATTCACAAACTTCTGTCAACCAGACAAAAACACGTCCCAAAACACTTTGAGCAGAACAACTCTGTACAGCCGGCAGCAACCAGTCTACGATTACAGGGAGGACACGCATCTCGTCTCACTATCTCCGGCCAGCACTCAGAAACTACCAACAGCTACTTTCACTCGTCTTTCATGGCCATCTCATGCCTTCTCTTCTGTGCAACCTCGACAAGCAGAGTCAGCAGGGCTTCGCATACCTGCGACGTGTCCGCCTGATCCCCGGGCTCTTCTTTCAGCGACCAATACACCATCCACGCGTGATCTAGCTTCCGCTCCGGCCGGACTGCCACTGACCCAGGAACCTCGGCGTCCTTCCGCGTCACGAGACCGTCGCTCTTCTCGCCATACCTTGCCACCAGCAATTGCGAGCATGCTGCCATCGCGGCTGAAAGCGGCATTACAACTGGGATCCTGGTGGAATTGCCATCGGCAGCAATCGGGAGCTCCAGGTGTGCAACGTGAGAGAGCGCTGTGAGCACACTGGGAGTGATGCTTGCCTCTGTGTGGAATGAAACGATTGGAACATCCTGAGGCAACGGGTGCAGTCGCAGGAATTCTTTCCGTCTTTCGTAAGTCAGATCTTCTAGAGCCTGCAGATCACCCTGAAGACAAGGCAACAAATAGAGTCAAGAACGCTGTCATTCAATAGGCAAGCTGGTTATCAGTGGCTGGAATGATCAAGGCAAATACCTTAAGAACCTTGGATACTAAGATCTCCATGATCTTACGCAGCCTGACGTAGTCACCAAGCTGCCCCTCCCGTAGGATATCTGAAGCAACCGGGCTTCCTCCATATGGACTTTGGGCTAATGCTAAACCTGCGACTTTGTCTTTGAGTTGTGGCCAGTAGAGGGAGAGGGCTGCAGCCGCATCAACACCGCCCTTGCTGTGACCAAGAAGTAGCACACGTTTCCTTGATCCCCAGTATATTTCTTCTATGTATTCCTTTATCTCTCGTGCATTTTTACTCACTGAAGACTGCAAAGTGTGTTTTTTTAATGTACTGCTTTGTGAAATTAAGTATTAGGAGCAAAGTTCACGTTAATTACCTCACTATGAATTTTGGCAATATGGCAAGCTAAACCCATCTTGGAGAAATATGCCTTTGTCTTGACAAAGTAAAGCGGTCCATGGTTACTAAACAGACCTATAAACAGCCAGAAATATAATGTTATCATAAAAAGTTGGAAACTGAGAGCTCATAATAGGAGAGGTAGCTGACTAACCTGGAACCAGCAAGTAAACCACTGAATCAGGTAGCTTGTGCTCATTTTTTCTGAAGAGAAATGAAATGGTCCATATGAGATAGAGCTCATATTAAATCTATCACTAAAAGCATGTTTAGATATCATCAGCATCAAGTTCGAGTTTGGTACTTCAGCTGACCTTACAGAGTCCAAAATCTCCAAGAATCTGGCTGTCCCATCCTCAGTTGTAGGTAAGCTTTGATCCCGCTGGAGCCAGCCAATATCATCTGCTGAACCACGGACTGTTTTCCGAGCACGCTCAACAAGGCTGCACAAGATATCAGGGACATCTTAGGGGACGCTATGATATCCACTATAGTTTGATTTAGCATCCAAATTTGATAAAAAAAATATATAATTGCATCAGAATGGCATACAATTTCAACTCACAACATACAGTTTTACTTTTTAGTAGGGGAAAGATAGACCCACTGTGTATCAAATTTTAAGAAAGGTGCTGCCCTGAGAGACACTGTGTCCAATTCTAGTAGGATTTGCATGATAGGAGAAAAACATAAAGATGCCAGAGCAATCTTGTACCCTTGGAACAGTGAAGCTCCATTCTGAAAAACTTGTGAAGGCACCATTTGTCCTGTGTTTTTCTTGAGAGGGCTTCCACCACTATCTGCCTGACCAAGGGATGAATTGGTGCCAGCAGGCTCTACTGAAGAAGTCTGAACAGAAAGCCTGCCTGAGGCTGATGCAGGTGGCAGTGTTAATAATTCTTGGTCCTCCTCAGATAGGCCTGCATTAAGATGGTAAACATGACCTAGCAGTTAAAATGGAATTATCATAAGAGTTGACATCTCTTACACAATTGAGATGAGGGAATTATTTTCCCAGAGTAATTAAACGAACTAACCCACATAACCAGGTACAGGGAGGCACTGGGTGAGGAATGAAGCTGTCTGAGCAAGATAAGATGCAGCTTGGTTTAAAGCTGGCACAGAGCGGAATAGTTGTGAATCTTCAACCCTGTCAGCTGAGTTACTATCATCAACCTGGTTTAATCAAACAACAGTTAAAGATAATAAATAGATTAGCCAAAGAGACTATAAAGTACAGCTACAATTTTTTGCCTATATTATACCTTTACATACAAAATCATTCAATGAGATTTAGTTACGCTGTTCTTGTTACCTGATTATGTACATGTTTCAAGCATCAAAGAAATCACTAATATAAGTGGTGTGCGGTATTGTAACAATCATACCAACAAAGCCTTCAAAAATTCAACTTCCAAAATTTGGTATTCATAGGACAGCGGTGCCAAGGACAACTAGTAGACATAGTCCATGTACTAATGTCTACGTGATGCAATAGTCGAGTATACTCGAGAAAAGAGGGTCATGGTTGATTGGTTCGTCATAACATGACATGAAAATGACTATGATATATAGTAAATACAAATTAATGCAAGTCAAACAAAGTTATCACAATTCAGTGCAAAGGATAAAAAAAAAGGTAAAATTCAGAAAGTGCACACACCGCAGAAGATGTAGATGGCTCCCCCTGTGTTGGAGGCGATTCCCTCATGATTGGTGTGGTTATCCAGAGAAGAGAGTCTGCTAGCAACGCTCCCATTTGTCAGGATAACCAATGTGCAATGAACTAGGAATGAATCCCTTAAGTAAAGTAACAGGACAATATAGGAATGAATCCCCACAAGTAAAGTAGCAGGAAAATAAGGCTAGAAGGCAAGGCTATCTGGATATGGTATATAGAACTGAGAAAGAGAGACAACTGAAGAGCAAGTCATGAGACATGAGGTCCTTTTAGAGCAAAGGAAGCACAACTGCACAAGCAACAAAAAGGTGGTTACTCTTATCATCAACAAGGATAGGCATCAAAGCATCTCCAGACTCGAATCTCCAAAGGGATAGACATTTCCAGCAGATGACTTGACATGACATCAGAAGCTAATTTCTTTTTTCTTTCTTGCTACAAGATATACAGAAAAAAAAACCTCCAGGGATGAAATAATTGGTCATTTGCCATTGCAAATAGCCAATTCTCTCTCCAGGGATAAGCCCGTACTGCCAAGCCCAAGCCTAAGATTAATAGGTTTCTCTGGATAAAGGAAGGTGCGAATTCTTACCCGAACCGAAGCAGCCGAACAACTGACGCGAGATGGCAATCGTGGAACCGAATCACATCAGGAGATGGGATCGAACAATCTCGACCAGAACGTGAAGGGGACAGCGATAAGAACAAGAGATGATATCAATTTACCGGAGAATCGGAGTCGTGGACGTCGCCAGGATAGCGGGATTGCGTAGAGGCAAGTCCTCTCCTTCCCGCGGCCGCGTCGCAGAGTCTGAACCCGCCGCCGACCGAGCCACTCTATTTTTTCCGTTTTTCTTACCCGTTTCTGTTGATTTTTCCGTTCCTTGTTCTGACTGTTCTTCCTTCGCCGGCGTCGATCACTAGGGCCTTGTGCCGTGACTAAACTCGCTTGCTGCACCCGGCCCGGTCAACCCTCTTCTTCATCGGAGGCAGGAAGGGGATTTTTTAAAATAATACCTTGTTTTTAATTAATAATTGTAAATTTAGAAGTCGTTATACAAAAATCATAAAGGAACTTGTCGGCTTCTCAGGCCTACGCCAGGGATGTAAGTAGTCCTTTCGAAATAAAAAAAGGTCACCCTTTCGAAATAAATTTATATAAATCGATATTTTTTTGGTAAAAACACCCCACAAGAATCTGCCAGCTGCAGATAGGAAAACATTATTTTCTCTCCATATACGTACATATATAACAAAAGCAACAACACATAAGATTTGCTTGTGTCTAGCTGCCATTTCCAAATATTTTTTTAATTCTTCCTCCGGGTAATGCACATGCTGTGCAATATAACTGGTACACAACGTCGAGACAAACCCACTTCTTAGTCAGCATGAGCAACACAAACATTCATCAGCTAGCTCTAAACCTATTTGATCGTCAAACATTACTTACAGAGCTCACAGCTCCTACATCTACAACCGCACATTTCATCACAACTTCCATTCAACATTACTCATCCTCTTCCACCTCTACTTCTTCCTTCTCGTAGTCGGTGTCAGAACCTTCTTCGTCTCCAAAAGGATCCTCGTCGTTGCTACCATCATCCTCGTCCTTGGAAAATTCATCAGGATAATCGAAAAGCGGATTGTCTTCGGCTGCATATATTCAATATGAAAAGAGCTTCAGCTAATCCAAGTAGCTATAGATCTCACTGAGTAGTTAGAGAAACATAATGATGGTATGATTACCATTTGAATCATCTGTGTCATACGGACAATCTTCGTAGCATTCATCTTCTCCATCATCCACTTGTAACCTTATGTAACAAGACCACTCATTAAGAAGACACTCTCACATGAGCTGAATTGAATAAAACACATGTGATTTCTATTTAGTTATTCACCTTGGATATGAAGCTGCTGACGTGGCCTCCATGTTTGTATCATCCACCTCCTTGACAGTATAGATATCATAAACTTCAGAATCTGCCAAACAGCAAATTTAGACTTGTCAAACTAGTGGCGGATCTAAACTTTACTACTTGGGTGTTAATACTACTACTAGAGTTTGAAATCACTTTCTGTTACAGTTAATAAAGAAAGCACCAAGAACCTTCCCAATACTGTTGAGAGCATCTCAAGGCAAGAAGCAGGCAAGAAGCTTCAATACCTTCTGATTGTGCCAATGAAATTATATCCGCCTCAATTTCCTCTGCAGTTGATGGCAAGTACTCGCGTAGAAGTGGAAGAAAGTTGCATAGAACAGCACCCTCTTCAAAAGAGGTAATCCTGCAGGGAATATATTGTAAGGAAACATGCAACAATGCAACTCTACATTCCAAATGACCTGATAAGTTGTCAGAAATCAAGACTTGCCGTGGTTCTTTTGGATACTTCTCATCATCGGGGTGTTGGCCCCTACAATCAAGAACCAGGTGAGCAACCTGCTCTCCTTCTCTCTCCCTCTCACCCTGACCCAAGGTAGAAGAAGAGCCTTGAGCTCTCTGCCTCCCCACTTCCCCTCTCTGCTTCCAGCGTTGGCTGAGAAGCTGCTGAAGCCTGAAGTTGGCAAAATGAACTGCCTTTTTTCTATTGAAATGCATACACATTTATACAAGCCTCATACCAACTATATGGTACATGAGGTATGGCTGAGTACAGACCCAACTACTCCTAGTACATGCTTAGATCAGCCCACTACTTGCTGATGTACTTCTACCAACTATGCCCTATTGCCATACTACAACAGTGGCAAGGACATGGACAAGCCATTGCTGACCACCGGCCACTCCTTAATCCACTGCAGGAGAGATTAGGAGGGTTGACAACAGATTATGTCTTACAATTCTTTCCCTAATCCTGCTGTCCACCCTTGATTTCCACCATGCCGATCATGCCCCTCAGCTCCATGAACCTAAGGCGTCTGAGCGACTTGGTGAGGATATCAGCGAGCTGTCGGACGGTCTCGATGAACTCGATGACAAGCTGTCCTCCATCGACGCAATCCCTGAGGAAATGGAACTTCACGTCGATGTGCTTGCTCCTGTCGTGGAGGACGGGGTTCTTTGCCAGCGCGATGGCTGGTTTGTTGTCCACCATCAGCACTGGTGGGCGAGCCTCAACGCCGGTGAGCTCACCCAGCAGCCGGCGCAGCCACACAACTTGGCACGCCGCAGTGGCCGCTGCGACGTATTCCGCTTCGCAGGTCGACAGCGCCACCATCTTCTGCTTCAGCGACTGCCAGGCGATTGGCGCCGAACCGAGGAAGACGAGCACACCAGAGGTGCTCCGCCGCCCATCAATGTCGCCGGCCATGTCTGCATCACTGAAGGCCGTGAGCCCTGGCTCACCATCTTTGGATTTAGGCTGCGCCTCACTGAATGTCGTCAGTTGCAGCCCGTCGTTCTTGGGGAAGACGAGCCCCTGATCGATGGAGCCCTTGATGTAGCGCAGCAGCCGCTTCACCGCCATCCAATGGTCCTCCCGCAGATCCTCCATGAAGCGGCTCACATACCCAACCGCGAACGCGATGTCCGGCCGAGTATGTGTGAGCCACCTCAACCCGCCGACGATGCTCCGGTAGAGCGTCGCGTCCACCTTCACCGCCGTGCTGTCCTTAGACAGCTTGATCCGCTCCTCCATTGGCGTCGCCATCGACTTGTAGTCCGCCATTCCGCCCCGCTCGAGCAGCTTTAGCGCGTAGGCGGGCTGCCCCAGCGTCACTGCCTCCTTCCCCTGCTTCACCTCGATGCCGAGGTAGTAGGAGAGCGCGCCCAGGTCACTCATCTTGAACCGGGCCGCCATTTCCTCCTTGAACACGTCGATGTCCCGTGCCCGCGCCCCCGTGACAATCAAGTCATCGACGTACACGCCAACGATGAGCTCTTCCTTCCCCCGTCGTCACGTGTACAGGGCATGCTCCGTGGCGCATCGTGTGAACCCAAGCTCCGCCATGGTGGCGTCGAGCTTGGCGTTCCACGCTCTTGGAGCCTGACGCAGCCCGTAGAGTGCCTTCCGGAGCCGAAGCACCTTGTGCTCTGCTCCCTTCACCGTGAAGCCTAGAGCCTGCTTGACGAAGACAGTCTCCTCTAGGTCGCCGTTCAGGAATGCCGACTTGATGTCGAGGTGATGAACCTGCCAGTCCTTGGCCGCCGCCAGCGCCAGCAGCAACCTCATGGACTCCATGCGCACGACCGGGACGAACACCTCCTCGAAGTCAATCCCTTCGCGCTGCACGAACCCGCGGGCGACGAGCCGCGCCTTGTGCTTCACCACGGCCCCGTGCTCGTCCCGCTTGACCTTGAAGACCCACTTCAAGCCAATCGGTCGGCATCCCGCTGGTGGATCGACCAGCTCCCAGGTCTAGTTCTCCTCGATCGAGCGCATCTCCTCCAGCATCGCCCTCCTCCAGCTCGCGTCGCGCTCTGCCACTGCAAATGTCGCGGGCTCCTCCGCGCTCATCAACAGCAGCTCAGGGTCGTCGTCGAGCAGTCGTGCTGCCATCCCCGGCACGTCCGCTTCCCCGATGGCGTTGTACACCCGCCAGAATTGGAGATCCTCACCATCGTTGTATGCATCCACGAGCTCGGTGAAGTCTGATGGCGGCGATGCGTACTCCACTTCGGCCGCCGCGGGTGTCCCCTGTTCTGGCGAAACAGGGGAGTGTAGAACAGGGGACTGCTGAGGTGGTGAGCCCGCGGCGGCTAGACTCGGCGGCTCCTCTGCCTCCGCAGCCACAGGCTCATGCGTCCCCGCTTCTCCTCCTTCCATCTCCGCTCCCGCTTCTCCGCCGCCGTGGATCACTAAGTGTTCCACGGTGAAGATGTCGTTGATGCCATCTGCGCCTTGTTCTTCCCCTGCTCCAGGCCTGTCCCACTTCCATGCCGCCGCCTCATCGAAGACGACGTCTCAGGACACCACCACCTTCTCGCCGACCGGGTCATATAGCCAATAGGCCTTGGACCCCTCCTCGTAGCCGAGGAACACCATCTTGGTGCTCCTGTCCTCCAGCTTGCCGAGGCCTGGCTTGGTGGCCTTGACATGGCCGATGCAGCCGAATGTGCGCAGGAACGCGACATTAGGCTTGCGCCCATGCCATGCCTCGAACAGCGTCTTCCCATTAAGAGCCTTGGTGGGCGCGCGGTTGAGGATGAACACTGCCGTGCTCACCGCCTTGCCCCAGAATTCCGACGGTAGCCCCTTCGCCTTCATCATGGAGCGCGCCATGCCGACGATGGTTTGGTTGCGCCGCTCCACCACCCCGTTCTGCTGCGGCGAGTATGGCGCCGTGAGATGGCGCCTGACTCCCTCGTCCGCGCAGTAGGTGGCGAATTCCACCACTGTGAACTCGCCGCCACAGTCAGTCCGAAACACCTTCAGCTTCTTCCCAGACTCTGCCTCCGCGCGCGCCTTCGCGTGCTTGACTGCCTCCGCCGCCTCGCCCTTGCTCGTCAGGAGCTGCAGCCACATGAATCGGCTACAGTCATCTACGAGCAAGAGGAAGTACTTCCGGCCGCTGTGAGTCGTCGGCGTGATCGGCCCGCAAAGATCCCCATGGACCAGCTCGAGCGGATTCGCCGCACGGTACCGCGCCGCCTTGGAAAAAGGCAGCCTCCTCTATTTCCCGGCCAGGCAGCTATTGCACAGCTCGCCAGCGTGCTTGATGCACGGCAGACCGGTCACCATCTTCTCCAGCCGGGCCAGAGCGTCGAAGCTCAGGTGCCCGAACCGTCTGTGCTAGAGCCACGGCTCCTCCGTGCTCTGCGTCGCCAGGCACACCGGCTGCTCCACCTTCAAGTCCAACAGATAGAGCCGATTACGGGAACGCGATACCTTCGCTAGAAGTCGCCGCTCCCTATCCTTGATCCTGAGCTCGCCACCGTGGATCAGGACCTCACTGTCGCACTCATCCAACTGCCCCAAGCTGATGATGCTTGAGCGCAGCTGGGGAATGTAGTAGACATCCGTCAACGCGCGGTGCTCGCCGTTCCGGCACCGGAAGACGACGGTGCCTTGGCCGCGGATGGTGACCCGCGACCCGTCCCCGAACTTGACCGTCCTGGTCTTCTTCTCATCGAGGGTGGAGAAGGCGGCTCTGCACCCCGTCATGTGGTTGCTTGCCCCGGAGTCAAGGTACCACCGGTGCTCCAGCTCGTCACCGACCGCGCCCAAGTGGGCCTGCGCGCGTGACTCGTCAAGGTCGACAGCCCGCGGCACAAGACCCCTGCTCCGCCTCCGCCACCTCTGCTTCATCGTCCTGCAGCGCACAGTACTCGCCCATCAGCAGCGCGTGCTCGTCGTCGCTGTCCTCCCGAGCCAGGTGCGCCTCCTCCTTCTCCGGCTTCTTCTCCGGGCACTCCCGCGCCCTGTGCCCCACCTTCCCGCACGCCGGCACGCGTTCGGGTCGGTGTGCTTCTTCTTCTTCTTCTTCTTCTTCTTCTTCTTCTTCTTCTTCTTCTTATCCTGCGGCGCCTTGCCGTGACGCCTGTCGCCGCGGTCACCACCGCGGCTAGAGCCTTGCCCGGTCCGCCACCTTTCCTTCATGCGCGCGGTCCACTCCTCCTCCGTCAACAACAGCTTGCCGCCGTCCTTCTCCTTCTCCAACGGCGCGATCGTGCGTTCCTCGACCGCACGCAGCCGCCCGGTGACGTTCTCCAGCGAGATGTTGTCGAGGTCCAGCAGGGTCTCGATGGAGAGTGCCAGCTGAGAGTACTTGGCCGGCACGACCCTTAGAAGCTTGAAGACGACTTCTTCTTCCTCCATCGTCTTGCCGAACGTGGCCAATTGGCTCACCACGGACTGAAGACGGAGCGCGAAATCCTCCACGCCTTCGTCGGGTCGGAACTTGAGGTCGTCGAACTCGTGGCGCAGCTGCTGAATCTTCCCCTTCTTGGCCCGATCCGAGCCAACGCGGAAAGAGGCGAGCATCTCCCAGGCCGCCTTCGCCAACCCCTTCTCCCCGATCGCCTGGTGGTATTCCGACAGCGTGGATGAAAGCAGTGCCTCCATGGCGCCCACCTCCACTTCCTCGTCCGCCTTGCCGGTCTCCTGACCTCCCGATGCAGGCGTGCCGGAGCTTCCACTTCATGAGCACAGCCCACTCGCCATAGTTGGTGCAAGTGAGCTGCGGCCATGTCGTCTCCCGCAGCGCGCGCACCTCCACCCTAGGCTGAGGAATTGGGAGCTCCTCCCTCGGCTCCTTCCCCGGCCGTCTCGGCATCCTTCTTGGATCGAGGCATCTTCACCCCCATCGCTTGGCGGTTTAAGCGCTTGATGATTGCACGGACTCTGATACCACTTGTTGGCCCCTACAATCAAGAACCAGGTGAGCAACTTGCTCTCCTTCTCTCTCCCTCTCACCCTGACCCAAGGTAGAAGAAGAGCCTTGAGCTCTCTGCCTCCCCACTTCCCCTCTCTGTTTCCAGCGTTGGCTGAGAAGCTGCTGAAGCCTGAAGTTGGCAAAATGAACTGCCTTTTTTTTATTGAAATGCATACACATTTATACAAGCCTCATGCCAACTATATGGTACATGAGGTGTGGCTGAGTACAACCCCAACTACTCCTAGTACATGCTTAGATCAGCCCACTACTTGCTGATGTACTTCTACCAACTATGGCCTATTGCCATACTACAACAGTGGCAAGGACATGGACAAGCCATTGCTGACCACCGGCCACTCCTTAATCCACTGCAGGAGAGATTAGGAGGGTTGACAGCAGATTATGTCTTACACGGGGTCTACTTGGACAGCATCATAAAGATGGCATATTTCTCTCAATGAGTCATCAGCATCGTTCTTTTCTCCTTTTCGACTCTTCCATATTTGTGCAAAGCGAGCATTTCTTCCCATATCCTATACATGGTCAATGAACAAAACCATGAATAAGAGTGAATGAAAAAGAACATGATGTAATTTACAAAAGATTTTAAAATAAAATAGTATCACAGTTTTCTAGTCTCAGACTAAGGTAGCAGTTCCCTCATGAAATCCTAATACATAATCTAACACTGCAAGACACATGCTATAGCAACTCCTTAAAACTAGCCATATTCAAACCTGCTCACTTGCAACAATCAAATACGTTGCTCCTAAAGAACCTGACCACCACATTATTTAAAACATTAACACAAATAGTGTCCAGTGCCAAGTGCCAGCCATCAATATACACAACACAAGTGTACCCAGGTCCAGATTTGATAATGTAGAGCATGCAATAGTTAATTTAGCATGTAATCCTTTTACTAGCTAAATCTGCATATCTAGCTTTCCGTGTGCTTGTGGCAAGGGAATGTTCCCAGAGACTAATTCCCAACCAATAACCTTATTTGGGAATTCGGTTGCAACACTGTTAGCATAGATTGGTGAACCTGGTTGTTCCCACAAGATTATGTTGCAATCAGGCCCAACATGGATAAATCTGTGGTGTGGAGCTAAAACCAATTCACATATACTCGCAGGGGAGGTGTGACATACAAAATTCAAACAAGACTGAAGAAGTAGCAATGATGTAAGCACTTAAAAAACCCATACTAAATCATTATGGGAGCACTCCTGAACTAGTCAATAAATTATGTACCAATCAGAGTATGGGAAACAAACTTAATACTAGACTACGTGGAAGAAACAAAGTACACATAATATAAAACTTAACTAAACCCTGACTAAATAGAATAGAAAAATGTTTCGCTAGTTAAAAATGGTTATTGATGAATGATGTACTTAAAATCCGCATAGCAAATTACACGAACCCTTAGTTTTTCCTCCTATAGTTAATTCTATGATTGGGTTACAGCCATTTCGTGATATGCACCAACTATCAAATTCATTGCCCCTTTAGTACTTGCAGAAACTTGAGAAGAAGGAATTGGTTGCAGTCAGAAACTCAGAATAATATGATGTGTACCTCATGCCTCTGTCTGGCTGCTGATAGTAGCTGCTCTGGTTTCTGTCCGCACAAAGAGGGCACACTTTAGTATTTAACCAATTAAATTCATTTGAACAGCTATAAATATGAAAAACACTACTTTCCTAACAGTAAATGTAGTGCCAACAATGTTCCAGGAGAAAAAAAGGTTCAATTATTACATAATCCTCATGGGAATCAGTGAACACAAAAAATAATGCAGTAGACACTGCCAGTTTCGCTTACTTTGTCTTGCTTGATTCTATCATTCCACTCCTTTGTCTTGCTCTTTACCTCCTTGGCATTTGAGTCAGCAAGCTGCAGAAACAAATGGATTTGTTTACAAATAAATCCTATCATCTCATGCATCCAATATATAGAACAAGTAATGCCTATCCATTGCGTAATGATGTTTTTTTTTACAACATTGCGTAATGATGTTTGAGTGCATAACAAAACAAACTCCTGTTTTCCATTAAAACGATGATGAATACTGATGGTACAAATGGCAACATTCTTTTCTATTTCAAAGAAGCTGTTCAGTTGCAGCATTTGAACTCCAGAAATGCATCAACGATGATGAATACTGATGGTACAAATGGCAACATTCTTTTCTATTTCAAAGAAGCTGTTCAGTTGCAGTATTTGAACTCCAGAAATGCATCAAAGATTACTTGTGTTTTATATATAATACACAAAGAGGAAAATTAACGAAGAAGTCCAATGACAATTTGTGACTGTAAGCATAATAGCATTTTATTGTGTAGACTCATGAAGTGAGCACAATTAATGGTACATGCCTTAATAACAGGAAACTTGCTTGGTAGTGTCACCACGAGGAAATGCACTCAGATTGTGGCCCTGCTTACCTTTTTAACTTCATGACAAAGGAGATGATGCAGAGATGGGCCGAGTATCCATTTTCCTGAAAGATTAGTGAAATTCACTATTTCAGTAAACGGAATGCACTCCTGTTTGGTATGAGTGAAACAAGATGGACTAAAGGATCCCTAAAGTCCCCGACTTCTGAATATCCTGTGCATGTGAGTTATGACACTCCAAAAATGCGAGAAACATCACAACACAACTTCTAGTCTATATCACTCAAACAAATTTGCAACAAGCAATGCAAGCATAAGAACTGAACATGCAGAGTAAAAGGTCAATGAAATTATGCGACATGCATATTGGATGCGACATTGAGTATTATTACAGAAATTCCATCCTATGAAAACAGAAAGAATGGAAAAGTTTCATATCAGTCTAGGAAAACCAGTGCTTGAACTTGTTACCAATAAGCGCATAGGAACTGAACATGCAGAGTAAAAGGTCAATGAAATTATGCGACATACATATTGGATGCATGAGCATACAGGATGTGGCACGCCTGTCTGTGGCACCCACAAAAGAACCTACATACTACTAAGCCAACAGGTTCCCAGTCACACTCAATTGCACAGCCTGACAGCCAAGAGGCACTAACACTGACGAGAACATACACCAACGCAGATGACATGTACTGGGGCGGTGGGGCCAGGCAAGGCAAGTAATCACACCTGTTCTTGGTCCTTGCAGATTTCCCAAGAGGAGGGCAGGCTGCCGTACGTGGCAGCGACGGGTTCCTTGCCCTTGCTGATGCGGCGGGTTCCTCCTAAATTAGTTGATACTTCCTTGTTCTAAATTATAAACGTTTTTATCATGCATTTTGACAGTGCATATCTACAAACTCCATTCCAAGGCGGAGTACATAGCAAAAGCTTATAGGGTATCTAGAAAAACCGAAACGTCTTATAATTTGTGACAATTTGTAACGGAGGGAGTACTATTCATGGGCAGCAACATGAAAACAGGCTAAGTAAGTCACAAATGGAGGATTACATTATGATAATAGTCTGCATAAGCACCATCCATAACTTCATGATGGTTTACACATTGATAATCTGCATAAGCAGAACAATCTTCCAAAAGGTGCCATCCTGATCCACCATTGTCTAGGACATATTAGTACTAGTTACCAGGCCTGGCCACTCGGTTCAGAAAAGCAGCATCTGATAACAGTAGGTTGCGACAAATGATTAAACCATCTACTAGTTGAACTTAAAACATCCAGACATCCAGCCAGGGAGTCTGCTCGACAGAACAAAGCCATAATGTTAATCCTACATGATAATTAACTTGCAGCCATCAGCCCCGCCACGGTGCTAATAATATGCTGCCCAGATCCATGAATCAGTCAAACTTTCAGCCTCTTTCCCCTGTCTCCAACCTGGCTTGCTTCCACATCTCTCTGTCAGGGAAAAAAAAGGAGGCTTCAATCAAATTGTAGTAATAATGAAAAATGTCCAGTTAGAGAACTAATCTATCCTTTTTAAGATGAAAGCTAAAACAATTAATTAAGAAAGAAAAACAAAGAGGCAGTGAACAACAGATGTAGCAAAATATAGGAATGCTAGGTTTCACATGTAGAGAACCTGCCAATAATGTCCAATTCTGCAGTATTTTCCAGATGATGATGACATATTGCTATTTAACTGACTCAGAACAGGTTCATTTGTTACAGGCAAAAACACATACTTATTACAGATATATAGCTTTCATTTACAACAATTTTTTTTTTTACTTCTGTACATCTATGATCAGCTTATCTGCTTGGGGCAGCAAGCCCAATTAGAAGGAAAATTCTCACTGTTATCCAGTAAACACGAGTCACAACTCACAACTGCTAGCTAGAGAATAGCACCTCATTATATTGATCACCTGAGTAAAACTAGCACCTAGGTATATAGTAGCTGCTGAGCTTGCATTACGCGTTTATCGATTCTCAAAAACCTCTTTTGGGCCTTATATATGTTCATCAAACTTGGACAGAGGGGAGTAGTTTAAACTTAAAACTAACACCTAAACCGGCAAAATCAGTCGACAAACGTAGTAACATAGAAACTCTGGAACAAATATATATGTATCAGTGTATAACTATGGAACAACAACTAGCAATATTATTATATAAGACAAGGTTCCGCTAGGCGCTCGCCTAGGCGCGACTAGGCGCGAGTCGGAGGGTGTCCGCCGCCTATGGGGGTAGGCGGACCCCTAGGCGGCGGCGGCTCGTCGACGGCGCCGGTGGGGGTGGAGGAGCGCCTGGCGGAGGTCGCTGGTGGGGGAGGAGCTGCGAGCGGCGGCGGGCGCTCGCGCGGGCTTGTGCGGGCGGCTATTGGCGCGGGCGCGGGCGGCGGCGGGCGCAGGCGCGGGCAGCGGCGGGCGCTGGCACGTGCGCGGGCGGCGGCGGTGTGGGAGGAGGCGTGGATAAGGTGGCTGGGCTGTTTTTAATGGTGGATAAGGTGGGCTGGGCTGTTTTTATGGGCCTTTCTTCTCTTTTCTCTATATTCTATGACCATTAGTCTTCTATTTTTTCTTTTCTTTTAAGTACTTAAGTATGTATTAATAAATTTAAGCATGTATTGGAAAACGCTTAGGAAAACACCTAGGGACGTCTAGGCGCCATTAATCCCGCCTAAGCGCTAGACTGAGGGTCAGCGCCTAGCTGGCTTTGATATAAGAAGTAGTGTTCTAGTGTAACCACAGTTAGCAGACATTACCTGGCGGTCCTCGCAGAAATCAACAGACAGGAGGCGGGGCATCATCTGCATCAGGCTTTCCGGTGGAACACCAGAGCTGGTGGAGACGATCTTGTTGCGGCGCACGTCGATGCCAAGAACATACTGGCGTTTGAACTCCAGCTCGGTTCCCAGAACAACCTGACGACCCTGGACGACGGGGTGTTCCTCGATATCATTCACGACGGCGTAGACGACAACATCCTCGCCGTCGTCGCGCACGCTCAGCACGAGGCAGACAGGCGTCTGCTGCGGCGGCACCAGGTTGAGCTCGCGGTACTCCTCCGTCGCCCAGAGGTCCTTGAGGGGGAACACGCCGTCTTGCTGCCAGCTGCTGAGGTCAGGCGACAGGGTCCAGGTGGTGAGAATGTACTGGTTGGCGTTCCAGCCTGCCAGTTCACCCACCATGGCGACGAGCTTGATGCGGCCGCCGACGCAGGCGGCGGAGCGATCCTCCTCCGGGCGCGGGCGGTAGGGGTAGTCGGTCACACTGACCGGGGGGCACCCGTCGGGCAAGGGGATGAAGCGGAGCTCAGGGTCAGGATCCAAAGGGTTGGTGCAGACGACGATGCCGTGGAGCAGATCCACCCAGCACAGGCAGCCGCCGGGCCCGGAGAAGGAGGTGTCGCTGTAGAACACGTGCTTGTCGTCGTCGCCGGGCGCCCTGCACACCTTGACCTCGCGGGGGAGACGGACCTCCTTTCTGGCCCACTGGGGTTCGTCGGAGCGCCACAGGAGGAGCACAGCATCGGGGTCGGGGGATTTGCGCTTTGGCATGATGGCGAGCTCGGCGAGCAGGTAGTAGGGGGAGGAAGAGCCGCCGCCGCCGGGATGGCAGCGCCGTAGGACAACGGCTCCCGACCCGATCCCGTCGATGAGGCCGCGCGGCGCCTCGGGGGGCGGGGGCACCGTGGAGAGGCGAGCGGCGGAGTAGACGAGGTAGCATCCGCACGTGGACGAGCCCGGGCCGAAGTAGCCGCCGCCGTAGATGACGAGCAGGCCCTTGTCGGCGCACGCGACGAGGGGGGTGGAGGACAGCGAGCCTCGGTGGGAGTTGGAGCACCGCAGCCTGAAGATGGCGATCTCCGGCGGTTCGGGGAGGAGGGCGACGGCGTCATCTGGCTTCAAGGAGAGCAGCATGGCGACCTTGGCCTTGTAAAAGGATAGGATGGATGATGCTTCCTTGGCTCCCCACATGATCTCAACCGCCGCCGCCGCAGCCGCAGCCGACGACGACGTGGGTTCATCGCCGTTGTCTTCGTCGTCGTCGTCGTTGAAGCTGTAGTCGACGCATCGGTTGAGCAAGACCCAGGAGGGAGGCATGGCGGCGCGGTTGGGCAAGGGGAGATCAGGGAGGGAGGAAGGAGGTTGGACGGTGGCGTATGTACGACGGACTCCGCCACAAATACACCATGAAGCGCACCAGAATTGGATTTCGTTCGGCCGCGAGGGCGAGTCGGTGATGAGGATGATCGCAACATTTTGTGGGCCGAAAGAAAAAGCACGGTTCATTTCGGGCCGGAAATTCTGGACTAATTGCGTTCCACGGGCCGCGTCGGGCCATGTTTGTCGCAGGCCTGGGATGGAGGGGCCGTCCACTAGGTGTTAAGATTCCCCTAAAAAAAGGCGTTAAATATTTATATCAGGCTCGGCCTCATAAGAAAATTTATAAAGGACTTCAAATCTAGAATACACAATAACTTATTTCCATGTGAGCAACAATGCTAAACCGGTTTCTAATATCATAAACCCTGTGTAGACTAAGACGTAATCATTGTTGTATGCTAACTCCTTATTATTAATCAAAGCGGGTAACAGAATCTTTTTTAAAAAAAAAATGGTGCTTGCGTATGTTATTGTCTTTATGTAATTCTCCATTTTAAATTAGATGTTTTTGGTTTTTCTAGATACGTAACTTTTTCTATGTATTTAAATATACATTGTATATAGATACATAGTAAAAATAACATAACTAGAAAAATCAAATAGAACGTCTCTGTGTAACATGGGAGTATCCGCTATATTACTACAGGAGTCGCAAATCACAAACATGTTCCTGGTTTATCAGGTTATGTATGGGGCTCCTGCAGTCTTGCTGATACTGGCTGCACGAAGCCAAACCGGCGCATTCTGCCCAGGGGGTTAGGACCTATTTTTTTTTAAAAAATTATTTTATGCAGATTAAGTTTGTGTTTCAAATTCGGAAAAAAATAAAATTTTGAGAACAGCTGGCTTATATAGGCCCATTAAATCTTAAAGCCCCAAAACCATGGGAATCAACGTGTTGGGTCATAGCCCACCTCAATCCATAGAGTTGAAGCCCACGTCGGTCCACGAACACAAGACATAGCCCTTCTTCTCCAACCTGCCTTCCCCTGCAAGCCCCATCTCCCGGCCTCCTCGCGTTCCCCTCTCCTCCTGTGCCTCCCCTTCCCGCTCTTCCCATTCCCCGCACCGCACGCGGTCCAGACCCCGACGATGATGCCCTCGAAGAGCCCCGTGGCGCCGGGGGCGTCCCTGACGAGCCCGAAGTCCGGCGCCACCAAGCGGCAGCGGAAGGCGGCGGCTGCAGCGGCGCCGCTGGGCGACGTCACCAACCTCCTCGTCGTCTCTGAGACCCCGACCCCGTCCCCGTCCCCGAGCAAGCCCAGGAGGACCGCCCGCCGGTCCCTCCCCGCGCTCTCCGACGTCTCCGCGGTCTCCTCCGCCTGCTCCTCCTCAGCATCGGTCACGCCCGCGCCCAAGCCTTCCTCCGCCGCCTCGGCCACGCCCGCGCCCAAGTCTTCCTCCGCCGCCTTCGTCACGCCCGCGCGCAAGCCTTCCTCCGCCGCCTCGGTTACGCCCGCGCGCAAGCCTTCCTCCCCCGCCTTCGTCACGCCCACTCCCAAGCCTTCCTCCGCTGCCGGTGAGTGAAGCTACGGCACCGATTCGTGCTCGATCTGCTGCAATTGACTGTAGTAAACTGGTAGCGCCATCCCTTCGATCCGCATTGGGCTGGGATTTCTAATCCTGGTACCTCTTCTTCGTCTGCAGTCATCGAGGCGGAGCGCAGTGTGCTCAAATCGCCGGCCATCTCCACAGTTTACCGCAGGACCACCGAGGCTCAGGGGAGGTGGAGGAGGAACCCCGCCGCCGCCAACAGCAAGGGCAAGGGACCCGTCGCCGCAACGGCGAGTTGCCCCCCTCTTGGGAAATCTGCAAGGACCCATAGCAGGTGAGATTACTTTGCTTGCCTTGCCTGGCCCCAGTACATGTCATCTGCGTTGGTGTATGTTCAATTCAGCCTCGTCAGTGTTAGTGCCTCTCGTCTGTCAGGCTGTGTGCAATTGATTGTGACTGGGAACTTGTTATCATTGTCTTTACTTTGTGTGGCAACTAGACGCCAGATAAGTACACCTGTTTTTCATAATGCACATTCCTGATTGCCTGTGAGGGTCAATACTCTGTTAGTTATTTTTTTAAAAGGGGCATGATGATATTATAATCAGTGAGAATCACCGTCCACCACGCTTAGCGTTGTGCTGTGTCCTGTATGCTCATCCAATGTGCGCGTCACATAATTTCATTGACCTTTTACTCTGCAATGTTCCGATCCAATGCACTTATTGGTAACAAGAGTTCAAGCGGCTGATATGAATACTTTCCATTCCTTTTGTTTTCATAGGATGGAATTGCTGTAATACTTAATGCCTTAAATGCTTGCATTGATTTTTGCAAAATGATATATAGTGATTGTAGAGAAGAATTAGGAGCCAACAGACGATCCATGTCCATGGGATCGAGGGGAGGGAAGAGCAGCGGAGATGGAAAGAGCAGCGGCGAGCAGGGCAACCGCGGTGACCGCGGCGGTGCAAAGGAATCGCGGCGAGATGCGCGGCGAGCGGTTTAGGATAGGGAAACCCGCGCAGCTGATACCATGTAGAGAAGAATTAGGAGCCAACAGGTCGCATCTATTGAGCTCATGAGAGTTTATACACAATTACATTGGGTGCAGGTACGGTTGACCACGCAGGGCGCCGGAACTGCCTCGGTCACGCGATCGTGCGCGACGTGGGAGCGCTGGTGATCACGATCACCACGCTGCTGCTACGCAGGTTACAAACGGTATACAAGACTATGTGCTAGAGCTACACTACGTGTCTCATCAGTGATATAGAGTAGAAGTGGTGTTGTGATGTCTTGAATTGCAGACGCAACAAACTTATGTCATATAGTCTCAGCATTCACATCACATGAACAGGATATTCAGGTGTCAGGACTATAGGGATCCTTTAGTCCGTCTTGTTTCTACCTAACAGTTACAGTCTGAGTACATTTGGTTTACTGAACTATTGAATTTCACTAATCTTTCAGGAAAAAGGATACTCGGCCCATCTCTGCATCAGCTCCTTGCCATGAAGGTAAAAAGGTAATCAGGGACACAATCTGAGTGCATTTCCTCATAATGACCCTACCAAGTTTCCTGTTATTATTAAGGCGTGTACAGAATGAAATGTCATCAGTTCAAACTTTATCATGTGGTAGTATTTAATTAATTAGAGCTGTGCCTGCAATAAGGTCTGTGATGTGTTAAAAGTTTCACTCCGGTTCTCCTTTGCATAAAGTGCATCCGTTCTGAACATTTATGCTATGCCATATATAAAGTGTTTGAAGGTTAGGTACTGCAGTTTTATAGTACGCTTAAAGTTGCATTTATAAGATCAGTTCTTCTCCATACATTGGCCATAACTTCCAGGTCTCTAATTGCTTGCCATTTCTGAAACAGAAGCGGTCCATTGCAAGCACACCCAACTTACTAGAGGACCTTTTGGAGAAGCAGAGAGCATACTTTGCAGATATTGACGCATTTGAGCTGGTAGAGGAAGAGGCGTCAGAATCCGAACTGGAGTAAAAACTGAAGCTGATCCCAGAAGACAAGGCCCTTTTTTTTTTCTGTACATAAGTAGTTTGCTATAATCACGTTTATGATGCAAGCAGCGGTGAGGTATGGTAGCAATGTATATCTAGCTCTACTTGTAACACGGGGGCGGACCGGTGTACCTTGGTGCAGTGATCACCGGGGAATGAATGTCTTGATAGGCCACTGATGTTCCTACTGGCAAAGCTTCTAGTTGCAGCATAGTAATCTATAGATACTGAGATCTCAGGACTAGGGAGACTCTCAAGAGTATGGGAAAATGAGGTTGTAGTTAAGACAGCACTAATCGCTCGATAATTCATCTGTTTGGACCTAGTTGCTCTGGATATATTATATACTAGTGTACTGTATTTTGGTACAAAAAGTTTCCTCTTGCGCTGTTAATCCTGGAGTTGGGTATGCTTGTTTTTGCAAAGCTATTACAATTGTATGGCCTAGCACGATTAATGTCATGGAAAATGATTGTAGAATGTGGAAGCACTAAGCATCACTTTGTTTCTTTGTAAGTTTTGCAGCTCCACGGCAACAGTGCCCAGAAACACATCGTTGTTGTTGTTGATGACGGTAACACCAACACCAACAACAAACTGACAATTGAAAATACCATAGATACCTTTAGAGAGGGTAATGCTGCAAACTAAACGAGATAGCCAAAACACCACAAGAAAAGGATTGAGAGATTTTTTTTTTTTTTTACCTTTTCAATATCAAGAGGAGCTTCCAAAGTTTGGGATATTTTCCAGAAAGGAGACATGAAATTGTCTGCTATATATATCTCTTAGTATTATTAGTACTAACTAATATCTTATTAACTCTCTCACTCTTTTTACGAAAAGAAAGGAGTCTACTCTGAATTGCTAAAATTAACTGGTTCTGTCCAATTTGTTGACAAAAGATCCGGGCAAATCGAAACGGTTCACACCTGACCTGAGGCTGTGGCTATACTGAAATGTCGTTCATGACACACTCTGTCACTGGTTCACGGTGACTGAATTGAGCTGACATACAACTGCGCAGCCGATCGGGGGGCAGAGCCGCAGAGGAGAAGCAGAGCAGCCATGCCTCCGTCCATGGAAGCCATCCCCATCCATGCGGATGCGGAGAAGAAGGAGACCACTCCCCTCGTCGGAGTCGCGCAAGCAGCGCCGTCGGCCGCCGATGATGCGTCCACCCGCCGAAAAGAGTACCTGAAGAGTTTGGAGGGCATCATTCTAGTCCTGCCCAAGCCGTTCCCGTGGTGGCGGCGGCTCCCATTCCTCTGCCCTGACCGCAGCTGCGTCGCCGTCGGCCAACCGCTGCTCCCGGACCTGCTCGAGACGCTCCGCGAGCCACATCACCCGACTAGCTCTGGATCGCCAGGTCGCGGCGGATTGCCTGGACGTCTACAACGCCTCGCACCCTGACAAAGAGTACGAGCCCGCCCCCGGCGAGGTGAGGCAAACCATGCACTTCCACAACGGCACTTGCTGGATCCATGGAAACTTCGTTGCTCGTCGTCGTCGTCGGAACAAACGCCGCTCTGCAGGTTGTTGCTACCTCTCGCCGTTCCTGCCTGCTCCACTGTAACACCCGTAACCGACGGCGATCGCCGACGACGTGAGCGCACAAGATGGATCGCCGGAGTTGATACGGAGCCGAGAGGAACCTCTCTGCTTCACGATTTCTATTTCAGAATATACGATGAGAATGTCTTACAAGCCACAGTACAGTATATCACGGAAACACTACTGGTCCGCAGGACCCACATGTCATAGAGTCTCTATTACATAGTATGGCCGATTACGCCTTCAAGTAGATAAGACGACTTCTCCTCTTTACGCCATCACCCCGTAGCTGTAACATCCACGGACTCTCTTCTTCTTCGAGATCTCGAATGGCACCTCCGGCCGTGAACTCGTCACGTGCACGCCCTTGGTGGATGAGCCGGTTACTGAAGCCTACAGCGTCTGGGGTTTCCCTCTTGGGCATTCTAAACGTCGGAGTGGCAAATTGGACACCATTCTGTCTGCTCCCGTCGGTTTTGTCTTCCGCATCCTGGTGTTCATCAGAGGAAACCTCAGTGTGGACATGATGATGCCCGCAAAGTCTGTGAAATGTGCTACCGTCGTCACTCCGTTGTGCTGCATCCACAGGTTTTCCGGTTTGGAAGCAAGTCCTGATGATCCGTCACTGAGACCTCAACTGAACACTGCTACCATCGATCGAGCACTGAGCGAGGATGGGAAGCTGGATTCTTAAGTTTGCTACTCCCTCAATCCCAAATTATAAGTCATTCCTTGAATCTTAAGTTTTCATATAACGATATAAAAACATTTATGATTCCAACTAAGTATTGTTAGATTCTTCATCAATTATATTTTCGTAATATACCTAATTAATGTCATAAATCTTTGTATTTTTCTTGATATTTTTTAGTCAAGCTTAAAATGTTTTGACTCTCCAAGATTCTTAGAATGCAATTTGGGATGGAGTACTTGTTAGGCTGTTTTTGATGCTTTTGCTTGTCGATCAAATACTGGATTCTTAGTTGCTACTACTCTTTTTCTTTCTTCAATTTTGATTATACAAGTACAAGCTCCAATAAAACTCTGATGATTGTACTGCCATTTTGTTATCCTTGTAACAACCTTTCTTTCCGTCTGTCAAAATTTATTGAGGAATTCCATGCGTGTTTTCCCCAGCAATCTGTACTCTCATACAGCCACCAAAAATGATGTCAACACACCCCCAGGTCATTTTCAAGAAGATATTTATATAAACTTTATTTATCAAGAAAGGAGTGAAACAGGACAGAAGATTTTATGAACAGAGTAAAAAAAAATTCACAATTAGGTAAATCCGAAACTCTTGCACAACACAATGCATTGTTGGATAAAAAAAGTCCGGGATTTGTAATTTGGTTTGAGCCAGAAAGAACAAGGATAAACTCAATTTTGGCACCATAAATAATAGAACATCCACTAACTGATATGATCTGATAAAAGGGGCATTCTGATATTTCAAACATGAAAGACCTCACTTATAATAGAGAGAGAAAAAAAAAGTGAGAAGGTCACACCATTGGGCAAGCAAGAAGCAGCAACTTCCGTAACTGCATATACAGTGAAACTAACATCGATACATCCCTTGCAACATCACTGAAATCAAACTGTCCGAACAAGACTGGTGACAACAACATCAAACTTGTTAAACAAGAAGGGTGTTCTGCATTCTGACCAAACAAACTGTTCAATGGAGGCTCAGCAGATTCCCAGACTACCACCTGCTCTTCAAACATGGCCAAATTCTTCACCGATTTCAGTGCAGTGATGGTGAAGATGAGCAACATCAGCCCCCTTGCTGGATCCAGTGGACAGATAAGGAAAAACTGCAGGAAGGTAAACGAGAACCATGTAATCTTGATCGAAGGGAGACATGAACATATAACTGTCACTGTCCAAACATACAATAAATTCAGCTGAAGGGAGACATGAACATACAGCTGAACATCAAAGGTTACTGCTTGAACAGCGAGCACATGCCACAAGACATGAACATACAACTGTCACTGTCCAAACAAACAATAAATTCAGCTTATACACATCATATAGCTAAAGAAAACAAGTCTTCTATGCAAAAGTATATTTTGGTAGTCGTACAGAATGCATAGAAAATTTCTGATTCAAATTCACAACAATATTTTGACCCGGGTGTCAACAACTTATTAGTTATTACAACGAACTTCACAACATTCAGACTTCAGTGTGACCCTGAGGCCAACATAAATAATAATGGTTCTACTGGACTATATAGCTGCCAAGACTGAATGGCATATGCAATCTTTCATATAATAGAACCTATGTTCATGTTATATGAGAATGAAACGGTTCCCGGGAAACTTACCAGTTCCTAAACGGTATTTATACCGCTTATGCTCCTGCTGCTTGACATTGTTTATCTCAACAACCATTAGGGTGGATAACTCTAACTGCTCCGCCTGAGAAAGGATGCCACAGTGGGATGGGATCTACCTGACTGCAGTGCAGCCCACAGAATTCCAATAATCAGAGGACAAAACAACAGAAAATTTCCTAAGATTGCGGTTGCAGGAAGGCAGACTCATGACTGATGTATGTTTCGTATGGCTGCATTGATACTTTTGCAGTCAAACTCCATAATCTTCATCCAGTTCTCGAAATCTCCAATTTCCTACATATATATTTTTTAAAAAATGGATTTTCAGCAGAAACAAATAGCACATGATTTGGATTGAATTTTCGTGTTTAAAAAAATCATCCAATACAAAAGGAATGGCATCCAGTTTTCCAATTTTTCTTTTCAGAGAACAGAAGATGAGTAAACTCATTCTCTAACTTCACCATGTGATTGAAGGGGGATGCATGTGAGTGGTATGGCATCAGCATCAGCATCAGCATAAGCATAAGCATATCACAGTTAGTCACCTTCAAGACTGAGTTGATCTCGTTAGTGGCAGCGAGCCACTGATCCGACTGCTTCCTGTAGCGCGCGATGGTACCGAGCAGCGCGCGGGCCTCAAGCTCGACGCGCTTCTCGTTGACGAAGAGCTCCTGCACCTCGCCGTCGTCGACCGTGTCCACGAGGAGATCCGCTACCCGCGCCGCGCTTCTCAAAGCGTCCTTCTTCGCTCTCTCTGCGTGTGCGTGCGTGCGTGCGCGTGGAGCGAGATATCATAGGGCCATCAGATTTGTTGGTATCACTTGGGCTGGCTGTTGTGCAGAGGAGAGGGCAGAAATCAAAGCAATGGCGGGCTGGCGGCGTACCAGTCTGCTGGCGTTGGTGGAAGGATTGGTGGTGGTGCTGTTGCATGATCTGGAGCAGCGCGTCTTCCAGCTCCTGCTTCCCACCCGCCGCCGCCGTTGGCTTGGCCCCGTCCATCCCGTCCGGTTCGCCGCCGGTCGCCGGATCAATTCCCCTTTCTTTTCCCTTTTTCTGGGGAGGGGGAGGAATTTTTTAAATAATTTTTTAATGAATAATTACAAATCTTGCTGTATAAAGCACCCTATCGCCCTCTGAGAAGCCGATAGGTCTGCTTCGCCTAGATTTTTTTTTATTAGAAACCGGGATTATATTTCACATAAGCCTCTGATAGTTTACATCCCATAACTTACAAAGACAACCCTGAAAGTAAAACAAATTACATCCAAGTCTTTGCAAGTTTCTCCAGGTCGTCCCCATCGCCGACGGTCGAAGCAGCTGCCCGTGAAGCCGACCACCTTCCCGACGAAGGACATCAGAAATTTTCAGTGGCACCATGAGCAACACATTGGAGAAACCAACATGCCATATGATCACTGAACGAAGAAGCCGAGCAAGATGGCCAACGGCCAACACATCGCCGAAGAGCGAGGGATCTGGCGCCTCGATCACCAACAACCCCGGTGCGCCCAACGACGAGTCACCCAGAAGGGGAAATAAACAACCAGAAGCGGTGGGAGATGAAAACCAACCTGATTTCCCAGCAAGTTGGTACAAAACAATCCTCTTACCTCCAGCAGCCATGTCGTTAGTAACGGCGATGTCGCTGACATTGTAGGCACAGCTGGCACAAGGAAGCCCACAAAGGACTTGAATACCAACGCATGAAACAACATCGAAGAAAACATCGCTGGTATAGAATCCTTCACATAATACACCATCACCGTGCACCACAATCTCTTCAACAACCACCAGCCTCCCACCTCCAACATAGACCAGAAGGAAGTAAAAGAGGAACACACAGAACCTGATGTTGCCGCCGCTCACGATGTCGGGGAAACCGTCGGTGTCGACGAAATATGGTCGGCAGTCCATCTAGGGGTATGCCCATGATGGTAGATTGTCGGTAGGATTCGTGTAATCAGGAACCAGATAGTTATAGAGACACAAGACACAAGATTTATACAGGTTCAGGCCGCCAGTGTGGCGTAAAACCCTACGTCCTGTGCTCTGTTATTTGTATTGATCTGGGGTGAGATCTGTATGATCTGTCCTCTAGGGGACCCTTGCCCCTCCTTATATACTCCGAAGAGACAAGGTTACAAGTAAAGTATCCAATTTGGTACAATTACAATATGACGATCATTAATACTGGCACATAAGTCACTTACATTTCTTTTCAGAAATACAAGTGGGCACACTTGAGCAGGAAAGAAATCTTTTTCTTTTTCTCTAGAGCACCATGCATTATTCGGACAACCAAAATCTTCGGCTATAATCGTGGTCAACTGTTCTCTGTGTTTACAAGAATACTGGCACATTTGCTTGGTCAACATTTCAATCAGTTGGAGACGATGTGAAGACAGACCGCGTTAGTCAGAGAAGATCAAACGGCGTGTCGCAACATAATACATGGTGCTCGGGGACTATCTGTTTGGTATTAACCCCTATACCCTTACGGCTGGTCTTGGGCCAGCTCATACCAGAGGGTCCAGCCCACCAGAAGACGACGCGCGGCCCAACCGATCTGCTCGGAGTCCCGCGCAAGGAATCAAGATAGACTTGGAGATCAAGCAAGATCCTGGTCGGTTAGAATAGGAATCCTATCCTGCCATCTATGGCAATTGTAACCGAGTAGGATTAGTTTCCAGATCTGTAACCCTACCCCCCAGACTATATAAGGCGGGCAGGGGACCCCTCTCAAAAATCATCTCATTACATATATCAATACAATCAGATGCAGGACGTAGGTATTACGCCCTTACGGCGGCCGAACCTGGATAAAACCTCGTGTCTGTCTTGCGTCACCGTCTCGTTCGTAGCTTGCGCACCTGTCTGCCGATAATCTACTACCTTGGGCATACCCCTAGGTAGACTGCCGACCATATTTCGTCGACAGTGGCGCGCCAGGTAGGGGGTGTGCGTACTGCTCCCTAGACGAATGAGATGGTCATCATCCCTGGCTCCATGGCTACACCGAACGGCCTCACGTTCACCATTGGCCAGATCACTTGGACCACTGGCTCCGACAACTTCATCGCCATGACCACCGAGGAGGCGTAGATCCAATCTGCATCGACCACTGCTTCACCAGCATTGGCTACGGCTCCGACCACGTTGGATCTGGCTCCAGCCACACCAGCTTCGTCTTCAGCCACGCCGACAACCCGTCGTTCGCTTCCTTGCTACAAAAGGAGGCAGATCGACAACATCGACCTGCTCGATTCCATCGATCGGGTCGGTACCAAGCTTGCTGAAACCCTAGCTCTGGTAGATTCGATTCAAAATCAACCTACCGAGCAGGTAACCACCAACCACAACAGATCTACCCGACTAGCTCGGGCCAGTCGTCCTGCATGACTCGGTACGGATCTCATGGTCACGTCCACTCCTGAAGGGCGCTCCGTTTGTCGCCGACTAGCCCCCGCAACGGGTCTCCGACTCTTCGAGTGCGAAGCTTTGATGGAGAATTACCAGGCTCAGCCTTACGGCCTGCGAAACACTGCTTCCGACTACGCGTATAATATACAACGCTGCTCAGACCTGTGTTTTATACATCGACCTCGGCTAAAGCCACGCAACTTCGTCAACATGGTGCGGATTGAGGAGTATCAAGAAGGATCGATCCACATAGTTCGAGAAGGAGGCTCAAGCTCCCCGTCCAGGACCGCATCCAATGGCTCCGTCCATATCGAACTTCAGCATCCTGACAATGAGAAGGTTGAATACGGTCTGGAAATCCTAGACCACCCCCTGGGGTTCCCATGATTCCCATCCTTCCTACCAAGGCGAGGAGACTTGATCAATGTCGTCAGTAATGACAAACCGCCGGCAGTTGGCGAAACAGAACAAGAAAGGCTAGCGCGCGAAGCATGCAATATTGACAGGTTTAATCGCAGACAAGCCAAAGCCGAGGCAGAAGAGGAGGCACGACGCATAAGGCTCCAGCCACTCGATCTCAACAATGCCTTTGATAGGGTAGGGGAAAAGCAGGTCTTCAGGACCCCAAGTGCTAACGTAGCTGTTGCTATGGCGACGATGCAACGACTACCCAATACCCCGAAAATCCAGGCAATTCATGATGATATGCAAGCCTACCTGACGGCAGCTATAGCCCAGACCACAGAGATTGCAAACCAAGCTCAGGCTCCGTCTGTCTCCATCAAATCAAGCCGCAGTCGTTAGTACTCGAGTCGTCCACAGCCACCCAACCAACGTGGCTCGCGCAACAACGACCCACCAGACAACCGTCAAGGCGGAAACAGTGGTCGTGATGGTGGTCGGGACGACAACCGCCGTGACAACTGAGATGACAACCACCGCGACAACCGAGACGACAACCGCCACGACAACCGAGACAACAACCACCGCGACAACCGGGACGACAACCGATGAGACAACCACGACAATCGCTGTGATAACCACGGTCGTGGGGCCAACCAGGGTGGCAATTGGGATCGCCGTGATGGCAATTACGATCTCCGCCACTCCCTCAGAGAACGCGATCTGTGCGATCGCATCAACCAAAGAGCTGACGATCGTGCATCCCACGAAAGCTATCGTCGTATGGAATATGACACTACTCACAGCCCTCCGGGTTTGAAGCAATTCACTCATCTTCGCCAAGTCGTGTGGCCAAAAAACTTCAAGCTCAAAAAACTCCAGAAGTATGACGGCAAGGAGAACCCCGAGTTATGGGTCATGCTCTATGAAACTACGTGCAGATCAGCCATGGCTGACGAGCATGTCATGTCTAATTACTTCCTAGTCGTCGTTGGCCATGCAGGCCACCAATGGCTGGTCAGCTTGCCGGCAAACTACTTTGATTCTTGGCAAGAGCTCAAGCAAGCATTCATCGACAACTTCATTGCTACTTGTGAGCAACCCGGCAACAAATATGATCTGCAGCGGATTCGAGATCGCAAAGATGAGCCACTGCGCGAGTATGTCCGACGTTTCTCGGAGATGCGCATCAAGGTCCCATCAATCTCCGACAACGAGGCAATCGAAGCTTTTATCACTGGTCTTCGCTTTCACGATGCCCTAAGGGACAAGCTCCTCCGCAAAAGACCTGAATCGGTCATAGCGCTCCTAGCTACTGCTAAAAAATATGCGGACGCCGATGATGCTAAGAAGATAATCATCGAAGAAGCAGCATGGGTTCCACGCTCTGACCACCCCCACATCGCGACGACTACTGCGGTAGCCGTGGTCAGAACGACAATTTTGATCGCCGCAACCAGCGCAACGATTTTCACGACCACCGCGACCAGCGTAATCAGCGGCGTAACCGCCGTGGCGATTACAAGGGCAAGCGTGTTCGGGAAGATGACGACGAAGTCAACATCGTTAAAAAAGGTGGCGGATGTCGCAACTACGAAGAAGACTACGCCAAAGCATTGAAAGGACCTTGCCAGCTCCATCCCAAGTCAAACCATACCATGGAGAATTGCCATGTTCTCAAATCCATTTACACGCGTCAATAGGCTCCGGATAAATCCGACAAGCCTAACGACGTAGGAGAGCAGCGTAATGAGGACAACGATGATGAAGACGCGGAGCCCCGTCACAAGTACGTCAAGCCAACCGACCGCGTCCACACCATCATTGGGGGCAAAGTGTCCATCGAGACCAAACGAGAGCGCAAGCTGCTCACCCGCGCTTGCTTGAACGTGGCCAATTCCGACAATCTCATCGCCGATCCTAGCTCCCTCCTTGGTCCCATCGCGAGATATCCTTCAGCAAAAAGGACCAATGGGCTGCAATACCTGAGCCAGGGCGTTTCCCTCTGGTTCTCGATCCCTGCATCAACAAGGTTCAGTTCGATAGAGTGTTGATTGACGGCGGCAGTTCCATCGATATACTTGTCGGATACCATAAAAGGGTTACCCCTAGCAAAAATCAAAGAAATTACTTATGCCTAGTAAATGTCGATGCCAAAAGACAATCGCAGGTAAACT